TCATCCCTGAACTCTGCTTTTCTATTTTTTTCCCTTCTCCTCTAACAGTTGATGGATGTCAGGAGGGTTAGTCCCTCTTTCTGTCCCCAGAGCTCTTCATCTGCCACTCTGTAGACCTGAACATTTCTTCAAACAGGGCCGTGGTTTCGCACACTCGGCATTTTTGTACAGACTTAGTTTATGCTGTGAAATTTTTGTGTAATAATCTTCATCAGGTTTCAACTGCCCCTGGGTGTGCTGAACTCAGCTGAGTGCTGCCAAGAGGCCTGCACTGGTGATGAAATGTTTGATGGTACCTGTGAAGGAAGGTAAGGCTCTGCTCAGGGCTTGGCTGCTGGCGATCATCTAAGTGGCCATGTTTTTAGGGAAGAGCCAAGAGCACTTGAGATGAATGCCTTCACCATGCATGCGTGTGCATGTATGCATTGCATGTGTGATTATACAAATGTCAGTGCTAACCAAACCAGCAAGAAGGAGCAGTTCCTAGCAACGTATGAAGCTACTCTTCTCTTCATCATACAAACAACATGCCTGCCAAGAGGAAAGAGTGTGTGACTCATTGGGGCTTGTAGGCAGAAGTTTCTGTCCTACCAACAACTCCCAAATACCTAGCAGCTACTTCCCAAGTAATTGACTCAGAGACTTAATAGTGCTTGTAAGTGCTCAACCAGTAGCTCAGGCTTATTACTAACCAGCTCTTACACTTAAATTAACCCATAATTCTTATCTATGTTTAGCCACATGACTTGGAACATTTCCTTAGTACTGCATTCTTATTTTGCATTTGCCTGGCAATTCCTGTCTCCGCCCTTCTCCTTCCCAGTATTCTCAGTTTGGCTTTTCACCCAACTTCTGGCCCATCTCCTGACCTGTCAGCTTTTTATTAACAATGAGCATAATCCACATCAGGAACTCTCAAGGCTTGTCTGTGTTTCACAGTTAGTTGTTTCAAACCTAGTTGCTAACTTTGCTGGTCCACCAGGCATGGCGCTGGGTAGTGGGGTAGTAATCACAAAACAAGAATCCGTGTCTCCTGCTTTCCTAGAGTGCTTCACCTTGCAGGAAGGACAAATGACATACGAACAACCAAGCAGATTTCTCACCTGCTACTGTAAAGCCACAGGGTACTTTATACAGACAGCCATGCTAGTGAGAAACAAGGGCTTTGAAGGCCAAGGTGAGAAGCTCAAACTTCACTCAAAGAGGGAAGTTGTAGAGTTTTTAATAGAAGACAGGCACAATCTAATTGATATTTACAATTTCTGTTACATTAGTAGTGTGTGTGTGTGTGTGTGTGTGTGTGCGTGTGCGTGTGTGCGCATGTGCATGCCACGGAATGTGTGTGGAGGTCAAAGGACAATTTCCAGGGGTTGGTTTTTCTTAGGTTGTCAGTCTTAGCAGCAAGTGCCTTACTTGCTGAGCCGTCTTGACCACTAATTTATATTTAAACTGTTCTGGATGCTGGGTGTGAGTTGATTGTAAGGGGAAGAGATACAAACAGGCAGCCCAGTTAGGAGAAAAATGCAGGGACAGGTGAGCTCAATTACTACATCAGCCTTGGCGATGGAGATGCACACCCAGCCTTCTTTAGAAAAGCAAAGGCTGTGTGTGTGTGTGTGTGTGTGTGTGTGTGTGTGTGTGTGTGTGTGTGACCATGCCTGGCATTTTTCTTGGATGCAGAGGATCTGGACTCAGGTTCTCATGCTTGAGCATCAAGCACTTAACTGACCAAGCCATCTCCCAAATTTTGCCCCTAGTGTAAGATTCTCTGGTGTTCTGGATGAAGGTTATGTGATAAAGAGAGGAACCGAAATGGTTCTTCAGTTCTTAATCCATGTATAAACACAGTCTCTGGAGCCACAAAACTGATGGGGTCATTTCCCAAGAAACAGCTCAGGCAGAGGAAAGAGTACACCAGGGTTGAGTGTGGACCAGCCATGTGGAGAGGCAGGGGAGGAGCCAGCGAGGCTAGGAGATCACGATGGACTGAATAGGAAAGGAGAACCTTGGACTTGGTGTGGGAAAAGAATACATATGAGGGTTGATGGAGAGGAAGTGGTGAGCTGGGTCCAGTGACCATGAAAGGAAAGACAGCTGATTGTTGAGTGAAAGTTTCAGAGCACACATGGGCAACAGGAGAATCCCATGGACTTCCAAGATAAAGTAAGAAGGTGTCGGGCATATGCTAGTCACAGAAGTCTGGGAAGATGAGTGACACCTGGGAAAGGCTGGACTGAAAGGCCCGAGGAATAAGTGCTAGATACAAATGGAAGTAGGGTTGGTGGCCAAGGTCAGCTGGGCCTTAGGTTATGGCTGGAGACATCAGAGGAAGGATGGGAAATGTCTACAGTGGCATGGCTGCATTGATGGTGGGTAGAGAATGGTTTACTGGAAAGGGAACAGTGTCAGGATACAGGCCTGGAAGTTGTTGTCCCAGGCAGAGGTCAGGAGAAGGTTTGCCTGAAATGGTGGTTCTTACATTGGCAAAGGGGGATGCATAGATTCTCAAGCATGGGTACTGTGTGTTGCAAGTGTCCCTGAATGCTTGGCTCCTACAGCATTGACCTCTGATAATAAATGGAGCTGGTTAGAAAGAAGTCTATATGCAGTTTCTATGTGTAGGTCCTGTGTAGTTTCACCGTCTATGTGTAGGTCTCATGTAGTTTCACTAGACTGACTCATATTTCCCTCAAATAAACCTGTGCAATTTTTATTATCATCACCCCTATTGTATCGCTAAGGAAGGCGGGGCACAGGAAGCCAAGAAAATATGCCCATAGCACATAGACCCCCAGTGCCAAGCTGTGGCTCTTTCCTCATCAGCTCTTCACTCAATTCCCTTGCTGGCTTCCTTGGGAGATTAAATCAGTTGTGAAAATACAGCATTGGTTCTAATTGGCCACAGTCCCAGAGCAGAGGCATTCTTTCTGATGGGAAAGACATGGGAGAAGCCTGATTGGCATACGCTTACTTAGGACATAAAGAGTTAGCAGTGGAGAGAGAGATCTGTGAGAAGACCGAGTGCTGGACTCTGTCTGGATGGCATGTGTATCCTGCATATGGAGAGTTAATGCCAAGGTGGGGACAAGCAGATGGAGACATCAACAGATGTGGGGACTGACAATGACCGGCTCATTCTGAAGGAAGATGCCTGGGTCAGGGTTTGTGCTCTTGCCCCTGGCTTGATGATGGACTGGTACCCAGAAAGCAGCAGCCATGCTGGTTAGTTTTGAAGTTTGAAGCAGGGGACCCCCTCAGGAACTGATAACCTCAATTTTAACTGACAGGTCCCAAATTTTCTGCTAGGAGGAGATTCTTTGTGACCCCAGCCCCGCAGGTGGTTTGGGGACAGAAGGCTCTATCTGGACAGGCTGGACCATCATAGTGTTGTTCATGTCCCCTCAGCCATGCTCATGTTGGAGCCTCATGTCTGTGCCTTTGCCCCTTTGTAGCTCACCAGTTATAGACCTGTTTTAGGTCCTTTGGAAACCCAGCATCCTCTGAGAATCTCTGTCTTCTCCTGAACTCACATGCTCCCTTCTCTGTAGTCTCCAAGTTTTTAGACCATCTCCTTGGATTGCTGTGAGAAGGAGCCCTTCATTTTTTATTTCAGTTTTGGTAACCATAGAAGAAACGAACACACAGTTATCTGAGATGCTTAAGTTAGGCCCACCCTCAATGGGCTGCTTCTGCTATTGAGACATTGCGAAGGGATTCTCAGAGCCCCTTGACCAAGATTTAGGCACTCATCCATACGTCTGGAATCCCTTCTCTACCACTGTTAACAGGGTTTGATGCCACTTAACCTTCAATTTTAGAATCCTCTGCTATTGAAGACAATGTTTGATAATGTACCCCCTGCCCCATCAATGTCATAGGGAATATTCAGTAAGATGGGGGGTATCCTGTGCCAGGCATCATGCCTCCATATGTTGGTGGCAGAATTACAAAGAAGTCATTCTGTGGCATTTTCTCATCTATGTAGGGACTATTCCTTGAAAGAATACTGTTGGCTCAGTATTCATGAGTGTCTGCTCATGTATACATCAAAGTACATATCTCATGCAACTTGAATGTGACCTTATTTGGACATAGGGTCTGTGTAAGGTTACTGAATTAAGATGCTATGATGTGCTAGAGGTACGGGGAAGTGGCAGCATGCTTACCTGAGGTTACAGTGGGTGAAGGAGGTCCATAGCTCAACAATTAGTGTCCCTGTAAGAGAGACAGAGACAGACACAGCAAGAATAGCATGTATTGAGGAGAGTCTGAGGATCACTGTGGCCACCCGTAGCTATAGAAGGCAAGGGAAAATTCTGTGTTGGATTTTGGAGAACGTACACCCTGCCGGCACCTTAGCCCAGAACACTTAGCCTCCTGTACCACAAGACCACACATTTCTCTGATGTCAAGCCACCTCTGTGGCATCTTGTTGCAGTAATCCCATGACACTGGCAAAGTGACTTGCACCCAGGCAATCTTCAGAGTCATGTGAGAGTTAGAGCATCTGAGGTCATGAAGCAGCCTAGGCTGGGCAGCTCACATCCTGACATGACACAGCCATGGGAGCAATCTACTGCCAAGATTCTCTACTGTTGGGTCCCTAAATTAATGAAATCAGTGTGTCTCACCTGCAGGGACCAACGTGGGGAAAACACGGGCTACGGGATCACCAGGCTTGGCTTCATCCAAGCCCCTCACTCACCGGCCGGTGAGCTTGCACAAGTCAAGTCACTCGACCCACCATTAGTCCCCTTCAGTGTCCTCTCCAGATGTGTGAGACCTGAACCTCCCTGTGGGTACGGGGTAATCTGTTCCCAATGTTACATACAAAGGACACAATTCTCCCAACCTCCTTGGCAGATGCGGTGAAACAGACTCAGACATGGGCTTAATGGAGAGGAACTAACAGTTGCATCATGGGAATAGCAGGTGCTCTGAGGGAAAAGGGGGAGCATCTGAGGTCACCTTGGGGTAATCCAGCAGCACCCTGCTTCTCACAGTAAAGGTTTATTTGGTATGCATAACCCTTAAAGTGAAGGGGTGGTTCCTTCACACTATATAAAAGCCTTGTAATACATTGTGAAAGCAGTAAAAATGCTTTAAAATGCGAGACAGGAAGGAAAGCTTGCGCAGGAAGGAAGCATAAAGTCGAAGCCTCTTCAGGTGTAGGCAGAGAGCAGAAAGAATGGTCCCATTATGTCACTAAAGCAGTCACAAGGACATGGGGTTTTGCTGCTCTCGAGCTGCTTGGCCCCCAAAGACAAGTCAACGTGCACGATACTGTTTGTGCTTCTGGTACCCGGATGAGACACTTAGAGGCTGAGCTTCCAATCTGTGTACTACAAAGCACGCTTGGCTATCCAACCCTAACTGGTGTTCCAGGAGGTGGAGAGACACGTGGCAGGCAGGTCTAGCACTGGATAAGCTGGCCCAGCTTCAGGCCTCTGGGCCATTCTTCTGGCCTGCCTGCTTTCTTAGCTCTGCCAGTGGGGAGGATCGGTGGTCTCGGGGATCGGGTATTCTAAGGCGCTGCAGTCATCTGAGAGGAACACCAGGTCCTGGAAAAGACGAGCAGGCAGTGAGCAGATACATTGTTGTGGGCGTCTCTGGAGCCCACAGGAGTGCTAGGGCTCCTGTCACCCTCCAAGTCTGTCTGAGTGTCGCTGCTGTGTAGAAATACACCTCCGTCGTCCCCAAGGAGATCTAGTGTCTTGTTGGAATTTGCTAAGGCTTTGCTGGACCAGAAGGACAGATGGCTGAGTGGTGGGCAGAATGAATGGGTGTAGCTATTGCAGAGAGTGACAGAGCAGGACACTTGATGTGTCCTTCTGACCGACACTGTGCGCATACACTACACGTCCATTCTTTCTGCCCAACCCCCCCCCCCGACACACACCAATATTTATTTATTTTTTAAGGGAACTTGGAATTTGGAATTCCTTTCTAGGTATCAGGGAGAGACAGTATAGAGTGCTCACACTGTAAGGGTATAATCATTAGGACCTTCCCCCTGATGTCACTTGTGAGCTGTGAAGAAGTGGCTGGGAAGGTGAAAATGAGGACACAGCTCAGAGGTGGCTGGGGCCGGCTGGGCTCGGTCTGTGGCAGCACGCTGCTGGTTTCCGTTCCCTTCCTGCCCCTCTGATGACACTCACTCCCACCTAGACCCGCCTCCTCCAGAAAGTGTTGCGTGGAGTGACTCCCTCTGGCTCTTGCACTCTGCCTCGACTGCCTATGGAATGGACTAGGAGTGAGCCATCTGCATGGCCTCCATGTGCAATCACGGGAGGTGCCAGGGCCCCATTCTGAGTCCTGCTCACTAACCAAGGGTGACTACTGACCGAAAGTCCCGCCCCAACCCTCCTCCCTGTGATGCTCATAGGAGAAAAGGGCTCTTGAGCGCCTCACACACCCGCCGGCAGAAGGAGTTCATGATGGTATACAGCTTCCGTACTCTGTCCTTCAGAGTGTCCACTTCGGCCATTTTCCAGCACTGAGGAGAGGCCACGAAGTCTCTCAGCTTGGCCAGCACACAATAATTCTGACAGAAGGAACGCGAGAGGGCGTTGGGAGAAGTAGGAGCCAGAGGGCCAGAGACCAAACTCATGAGTCTTCCAACTTAGCAGAAGACCTCTCTCCACCCTGAGTGCCCCTGCAGCCAGCAGCAGAGGTAGTTCACATTGACCCCACCCTACCCCACCCCACCCCACCCCACCCCACCCCACCAGGCAATACTCTCTTACATGGATATCCAGGTAGAGCCGGGGCAAGAACCTCACACATGAATCCTGCAGGAAGGAAGCAAGTGGTCCGGACAGCTGGTCACAGTCTGTTCCCTGACAGCTCTCCCACAGCCAATAACCCCAGAACTTGTTATTGTTTTTCCTGATACTATGGCACCCACAGCACGTCTCGCATCATGATACATGCTCTCTCAGACTCTTACTTCAGAGCATAGCCTTTGCAATGCAGTGAATTAGGACACCATTTTATACAAACATGTGTGCCGACATGCGCAAACATGTGTATGGCATCACATAGCACTGTAGATGCATTTTCATCTATGTAAACCGATTTTATAGCAGCTACCTAGATGAAGACTACATAACCACATAAGTATGTTCTTATACATTTACCTATGTAAGAGTTTTAAGCTATAACACAGACACAGCAAAGTATGTAACATGCAACATAGTACCATTAAAAGGTAGGTGTGCATGTATGTGTGTGTGTGTGTGTGTGTGTGTGTGTGTGTGTGTGTGTGTAGGACCAAAGGCCTGCAGATCTAATACCCTTCCCTCTATGAACCTCTGTGTGACCTGGGCTGCTGTTTTCCTTCTGTGTGACTCCGTTCCCCAGCTGTGAAATAGAAGATTGAGAGCGTTGTCTTCACTTTGCCCCACTCAGCAGTTCTGAGCCTCTGCTCTTACCTTCTAGCATCAGATGTCCCTAAGGTCAGTACTCTGTCTGTTTCATGGCAAGGGACTAGGGCACAACTGCCCAAAGAAGTGTTATCCAAACAAACATAAGCTATCAGATGTTGTTGTTAATATGCAGCTTGCAATGCACCTGGTGCTGTGTAATATATATTTTACCACCACCACCTCCATGGGAAGGTACTTGTGCAGGAAAAGCAAATGCCTTCCTCCAATTGTTATAGCAGCAATTGCCTCTAGGTGGCAGGATCACAAACAGCTTTTTTTTTTTTTTCCCCCTTGGTCTTTTGTGCATACTGTTTTATCATGAGACAGTAATGCATGGAGTTTAACTTTTGAAAAGAAAATACGACGTGTTCAGATAATGTCAGCTCCAATACCCAAGTAATGTTGGGTTCTGTTTCTAGCGTGTGCAAGCAGCCGAGTAACACTTTTGAAGTTTGCCCAGGTTCTCAGGGAAGTCGAATGTGTTTTGCCTCTATTAGAGATAAGCAGGCAAAGGATCTTGACTATCCCTCCCCTGAAGCACTCCCCAGGGGACACCCCAGAGTTCCTGGGGTCTTTCTCTGAGCATAGGGCTAACAGTCTTAACACTTGTCCTGTGTTTCTATGGTCAAACTTTTCAGCTCCATTGCACCCAGGGGGACACTATTAGCCCCCTTCATTACAGAGAAAGGATCTGAGACAAGGGGTGAGTAATTGTCCCACAGCCCCTCAGCAGATAAGGAGCGTGTCACCCCTTGGCATGCATTGCTGGTCATCAGGCTAACGACAGAAACAAAAAGCTTAGTTCATTACTTCTATGCAACTCTAAACTTCTAGTCTTTGTAGGGAGCTGTTTTTAAAATTTTATCTTATCTTTATATATCTATCTATCTATCTATCCATCCATCCATCCATCCATCCATCCATCCATCATCTATCATCTGTCTTCCCAAGGCAAGGAAGTCAAGCGAGGAACTTACCTGAGGCTCTGAAGCCTGCAGGCTCTGGAAGTCTGCCATGATCTCACGGCTCAAGGTCAGCATCCTCGAGTAGCAGGTTGGGGGTGCAGGTTCTACTGCCAGAGGCCAGACCACCACCATCAGCATCAGCAACAGAGGCAGTGCCTGGGGTGCCATTGTGTCTGCTGCTTACTGCTGGGCCATCTGTCCCTTTAAACGGCTGCTGGGGGGGGTATCCAGGGCTCAGGCTCCCCACCTTTTTCCTGTGGAGCCCCTGCCAGGGCCAGACATCCAAGGAGGGTGGGACCAAGGATGTGGCACGCCCATAGTGTCTGGGACACTGGATTCTTTCAGAAGGGAGCTGTTATGAGGGGAGGGGGAAGTTGCAGGGTTGGGGTACTGGAGGCACCTAGAAGGGAAACAGGCACACATTCTCTACCAGAAACTTCTCTCGTGGCAGAAAGAGCAGTTGAGAGGGTCAGAGGGGAAGGGGGGGAGATGGAAGGTGGGAGATTGGATAAGGGGCTAGGAAGGGGTAGCCTTGCTCGGTGTCAGAGTGGGGGAACTGTTTCCTATGACTGTCTCATCTCCTGGAGCAGGATTCAATGTAGAGGAGGACTAGGGTGCTTCTAATTCTTCCAGTCTTCTGGGAAGGACACTGTGTAGGGCCAGGGTAGGCAGACTGGGTACTGTTGTCCATAGAGCAGCCACTAAGCAGGATGGAGACTGTTGGATGCAGCCCTGGGTCTGGAGGAGATGCTTCCTCTGCACCTCTTGAGTGTTTGACCATCACTGAATCCCCCACTATGCACCCTAGAGAACAGAAAAAGAAAAACCTGCATCTTTCTTTTAGGGCTGAGGAGCAGAATGGCTTCAGATTCTTTCTGCCTATATCCTTGAACCAATTTCTTAAATCTTTTTTACTTTCCCACCAAGTGCAATGGTTTGACAAGTGTCCCCAGCTTGGGCCACAGTGACAAGTAGTCAGGATGCTGCACAGGCCAGGTGGAGCTTATGCCAGGCACATTGCCACATCGGAGGTCACCAAGCCTTCTGAGCTAATGTTCTGGCCTCTGCTAAAGCCACAGGAAACAGTCCCAATGACTGAGGGTGGGACTCACAGGACCCTGCGTGTTGCTTAAATAACAGCACACATTGGGTGGAAGCACAGTGTGGGGGTCTCTCTATTCCACAGACAAAAAACAGAGGGTTCTGGGAAGTCTGACACTGGGCATCAAAGCCTCCTGCTGTCAGGGGCCAGGCTGAGCTGCCCATTTATGACCTCAGTGACAGAAACAGAGCATGCTGTTCCCAGATGCAGGCAGGACTGAGGTAGTGGACGGGATGGATACCTCACCCTGGGTTTGTGGGAGAAACCCTCCTGAGACCTGGCGGCCTGTTCCCCATCTGTAAACAGGTGGCTTCAGCCTGGGCAATGTCTGCCACCCCTGCCAGTCCCCACATTTTGTTTATCTATTTTCCAGTGTACAGAGCCCTGGGTAGGGATCATAAGCTGCCTTTTCCTGTTTTGTAGGCAGCAGTATGTTCAGAAAGTTGACCTTGGACCTGGGGCAAGCAGTGCTCAGGGGGTGGATTGGTGTGGGGTGCTGGGGGCAGAATCCCAAACAGTGCCTTTCCCCTGGATATAGAATCTGCACACTCTGGCCTTAGTGGTGCAGGGTCTGTGTGGCTCCTGGCAAATGTGTCACCTGGCCAGGGACTGCAGGTCTGTTTGCGATGTCTCAGGACTTCTGGATGTGTTAACACTGACCTCAAATCCAGGACACGGGCAGAACCAAACCCAGGCTCCAAACAAGTCCCCTGCAGCATTTTGACACCGTGCTGCTGGGAAGCACAGTCCTGTGTGTTTGAGCTGAGAAAAATGTGTCTCTGGGAGGCAATCCTGGTCCTCTTGACTCCCACATGGGGCTATGAGCAGAGCTTCTTTTCATGATTCAGATGAGCTCCAAGCTCCAGGGTGGCTTCTAGGCCTGGCACTCAGATTCCACACATCCTGTTTATTGGTCAAATGAGTGACAGGCTGCCCTCTGGGCAGACACTGGTCCTGGATAAGACTTGATTGATGTTGGAGCCCTGAGAGTCACTATCCAGTGATAGACAGGGTACTCAGCCAGGCCCATGAGACAGAGAGCCTCCCCACCCCCTGCCAGAATGGGACAAGTGCCCTAGACCACTTCCCTGGGAGATAGCATAGAAAGGACAGTCTCTGTGGAGCTCAAGGACTATCTGGGTACATATGAAGTATTCTATTTCCTCTGTGGCCACAGCAACACCCTGTGTCCTGAGTATGAGATGTTTTCTGTGTCCTCAAGGACTATTCCTCCTCCAGGATGGCGCGCAGAGCATCTTGTGTTTGTGAGCCTATGCCCACTCATGTGCCTGTATACTTTCCTGTCTATGTGGTGGCCAGAAGTCAACATCAGGCATCTGTTCCAGTCTCTCTCCCCTTTTTGTTTGTTTGAGGCAAGGGTTCACCAACTCAACTCAACTGGCTGGCCCCTGAGCTCCAGGGATCACTGTGCCTCCACTATCTCAGCACTGGGATTATAGGCATGTGCCGTCACAGCATCGTTTTCCTGTGTGCACGTGGGGACTTCATGCTTGCATGGGGATTTTACCGGCTGAGCCATCCCCCCAGCCCTGGAGGGATGGCTTTTTCATCTCCATGTCCTTGTGCCTTAGGACCACTCTTGCTATGCAGACATCAGAGCACAAGTCGGCTAATAAACCCACAGAACTTATATAGCTTCAACCACTTCCCCTTTACCACCTGCTCCTGCCCCAGATGTCCTGGAGGCATCTGGTTTTGGGGAACTGGTCAAAGGCACGCACATGTGTGTCCTACTCAGACATCCTTCCTCAACCCCTCCAAACCCTTATTGCCATGACTCCTTTAACACAGTAAGTTGCTCCAATAATAAGGCACCCAAGGAGTCTTTTGTATGTACCCCAAGACATCCCCCATCCCCAATAGTGTCTTAGATGAGGTTCAGACCTCTTTGCAGCATGGTCCTCCTTATTTCTGCCGGGAATGATGTGGAGTAAAAGAGCCCAAGGCTGTCTGAGCAGATACTAGTCATCTCCTCAAGCAGATTCTTCCTGTATATGCCAGGCACAATGCCTCCCAGAGTCTCCCATGGGCCCTGTTGGATGAAACTGGACCAGACAGACTGCGGTTCTCAAGGAGGACAGTCACCATGTTGAGCAAGGGATGTAACAGCAGAAACGTGCTTCAGAGCTCCAAACCTAGTCCCACTGGTCAGCCTTGGAGCAGATCCATTCCATCTGAGACTTAGGAGAATGTGGAGGGCATGGTGGGGGGTGTGAGTGTGTGTGTGTGTGTGTGTGTGTGTGTGTGTGTGTGTGTGCATGAGTGTATGTATGTATGTGTGTGTGCATGTGTTTGTGTGTGTGTGTATGTGTATGTATAAATTTTACTGGCACAGTGGAGTAACTGTGAACAAATCTCTAACAACAATCATAATGTTTATTATTCTCACAGAAAGGAAACTCCACGGAGACACCTCCCTCACATTAGTTTTGAAGTTTCCTCTAAGCACCACACTGACCTATAATTACCGCTTGTACACATTGAGAAGGGAGTTAAGTCATGAAATCTATGTCCTCAGAAATGGACTAAGACCCTTGTCTTGGGAGAGGGCTAGTTATCATGCACAGGCTAGTTAGAGTTCCATGTTTCCTGCCCTTTATAATTGTTCATGGGCCCTCTGCTTCCATCATGGGAGACCCCAATACAGTAGATGCCAGTGTCTTTTCTTGAACTTCTTGGCCTCTAGAACCATGAGCCAGGTAAAATTCTGTTGTTTTTAAATTACCTAGATTTGGGTATTTATTAAAGCTACAGGAAACAGGTGATGGCACTCTGTGTTCTCTGGCTGTGACCTCAGGTTTTCAAGGCTGGGGTCGTTTTTAGCCATTCTGGAGGAAGAACGTTTGGCTTTCCTCTTTTCTGTTCAGATGGGCATGGTCTAACAAGTGATGCTGGTGGCCAAGGAAATGTTCTTTCTTCAGCCCCAAGGGATTATGGGAAAGTCCTGAGAAGACCATAAGAAACAGTAAGTCACTGCTGGCTCTGGCCCTGTGTAACTTGGCCGGAACACAGAACATCCGATCCACATACTCTCTGCGCTCCTGTCCTATGATCAGTATGAGAGATGGCCATGTCAGTATCAGTACCTCTCTGTTGTCTCATTCCAAGCCGGTGATCATCAAGGTCAGTGATGGAGAGGGTCCAGAGCAGGAGACAGCACACTGAATCAAAGCCAGAACTGAAGGCCACCTCCAGAGCAAAGAGCTACTGCTGGGTCTTCCTCCTTTTCCTGTAATTGGAGCAGGAGCCAGTGATTGGTGGGTGGTCCCATCTTAATGAAGATGGTCAGTTGGTCCTGGGGTGGAGAACAGAAACTACAGTCAGTCAGGATGCAATTCACAGGGCTCCTATTGACAACAGCATCCCTGTGTTGGTGGGACATTTTGGAGCTATGACTGTGTCACTCTTGGCAAAGGTAAGTGGAAAGTTGACCCACCCAGTCCCTAGTGAAGGAATAAAGACAAACACTGGGCTCTGCTATTGGTAAAAATTATGAAACACTGTCTTTTGGAAGAAAGAACTCCAAATGCTCCCAAACATGGGTTCAGTCTCTAATGGGCAGTGTCCACAAGATGAGTGCTGGCCCAACATCTCCCCCAGTGCTGTTTTTGCAGAGAGGATAAGACAGAAGCTGTCCAAGAAGTGTTCTGGCTTAGCTCTGTGAAAGCCCATGGACTTGGATGATGCAGACTTAACTATGACCTCACTCCTGTTGCTGTGCAATCATGGGCCTTGTCATCACTAGGCTTTCTTGGGTGCAGGGGTTACTACATTCAAATACATACAGGCACTGTGGAGGTGAAATCACCAGGAAGCCACTGGATTGGTGGTCACTCTCTTTGAGGACTCCCTGTGGGTACTGATCAGCTGGTATGTCCATTTCTTTTCTCCTGCATCTAGGTCAGGATGGAGCACCCTCAGCCCCCTGAAGGTACACACAGCCCTTTAGGTTGTCCTACTCAATGAGATGGTGCAGGAAGTGATGGGTTTTCTTGTCAATCAGAAGCTTCTGGAGCCTGTATGTGCTAGATATGTACATAGTGGAGAAGCACATGTGTTTGATGT